ACAGTTTAGGGTTTAGGGTTTAGGGTTTAGGGTTTAGGGTTTAGGGTTTAGGGTTTTGGGCGCAAGAAGCAAAGAGCATTTAAGGTACTTGGGGGACGGTATGCCTTTCGGGTACATCATAGTAGGGTTCGGAAGTTAGGGCAGTTCATGTTTCCGGGTACAGAATGTTTAGGGTTTAGGGTTTAGGGTTTAGGGTTTGGGGTTTAGGATTTAGGGTTTAGGGATTTTAGGGCTAGGGTTTAGGGTTTAGGGTTTAGGGTTTAGGGTTTAGGGTTTAGGGTTTAGGGTTTAGGGTTTAGGGTTTAGGGTTTAGGGTTTAGGGTTTAGGGTTTAGGGTTTAGGGTTTAGGGTGTAGGGTTTAGGGTTTAGGGTTTAGGGTTTAGAATTTAGGGTTTAGGGTTTAGGGCTAGGGTTTAGGGCTTCAACTGGAGCAAAAGGCGGCAGCGCCTCTTCGCTCGCCAGCTCGCCCAGCTCAGACCCGCCACAGAAGTAAAGCTCGAAAATGAGGTGGCGCACCTTTTCACCCCAAAAGACTCCACATATATATATATATATATATACATATTCACACACACAAAATGTTAGAATGGTAATCATAATAAAAAAGAAAAAATCACAATAGAACGAATAATAGTAGTAGTAGTAGTAGTAGTAGTAGTAGTAGTAGTAGTAGTAGTAGTAGTAGTAGTAGTAGTAGTAGTAGTAGTAGTAGTAGTAGTAGTAGTAGTAGTAGTAGTAGTAGTAGTAAAAATTCTAGTTTTAAAAAACAGCAACACTACACCTCTACAGCCCAAAAGACAACGACTCCGCCACAACCCCACCCCCCACCCCCGCTGCGAACAAAGAGCTGAGGAATGAGGAACTAAGTTGTTCGCGTTTAGGACTGAAGGAGTAAAATCTAAACTCTAAACCCTAAACCACAAACCCCAAACCCTAAACTCAAAGCATTTACCGCATCTGAGTCCAACATGGGATGACAGCAGTGATTGCTCAGGCCCCTGATGGCCCCTGTATTACTTGGACTGGGAGGTGGGCTTAACATCTGGGCCCGAAGAAGTGGTAAATACTTTTAAAATCTCAAAAATAAACTTTAAACCCTAAGCCCTAACCTAAACCCCGGCCCCAAACCCCTCTCCCCAAACCGCAAACCCTAAACCCGAAGGGGAGCACCCAAGGCAATATCTTTGTACATCTGGGGGGCGGGTTCTCTCCGCGCCCCGAGACAAATCCTCATACGCAACATGCATATTTGCAAAACAGCGAACGACAATGGATGGCTGCAGCGTAGGCTTCAAAAAGCGATTTGTAAACAAAACGATGAGTTTCAAAAACCCTAAACCCTAAACCCCAAACCCGAAACCCTAAACCCATCTGGCGGGGATTGGAAAGTCAACCCCTGGACCACTGCAAATTTGACGAAAAGCCAAGCGAGAGTGTTTGACAACCAATGGCGGATTCAAGGGGTCTCCAGAAAATGAACGACCGAAAGCTTTAAACATCAACCGCGAGCGTGGCCCATCAGAGATTGAACAAATGTGCCTAGGCTCCAGACAAAGAGACGAGACGCTTTTTCCGGTCAATGTTGTTGTGCACGACTCCCTTCTGATTTTTTCTACAAGCCCGACACCATAAACCCCCGCTGAGACTAGCTAAGCTTGGCTCTAAACCCTAAACCCTAAACCCTAAACCCTAAACCCCAAACCCTGAACCCTCAACTTGGCTCAACACCCTAGACCCTGAAACCTAAAAACCCTCAACTTGGCTCTAAACCCTGAACCCTGAACCCTGAACCCTGAACCCTGAATGCTAAACCCTAAACCCTAAACCCTAAACCCTAAACCCTAAACCTTAAACCCAAAACCCTAAACCTTAAACCCTAAACCCTGAACCTTAACCCTAAACCCCAAACCTTAAGTTAACCCTGAACCCTACACTTGGCTCTAAACCCTGAATGACGACTCATAGAAAGGTCCGTGCAGCGGAGATGCGTCTTTGGAAGGAGACACCTGGCTTGGCAGGTCCGGTGCAACCCTTGCTGACCATCCAGGGGTTTAGGGTTTAGGGTTTAGGGTTTAGGGTTTAGGGTTTAGGGTTTGAGGTTTGAGGGTTTGGGGCTTGGGGCTTCTGGTTTCGGGCTTTTCTCGTTGAGGGTTTGCTTGAGCGCAGCCTAACTACGGCTTGGGCTTAGGACCACCTGAGGCTGCCCCTGACCCTACGAAACTTCCGCCACAAACTGCATGCTTCAGGGGCTGAGGGTGCCCTCAACCCTGGTACCTTAACCCTAAACCCAGGATACAATAAGGATACAGTACTAACCCTGATACCCTTCACCCTTACAAGTAGAAAGGGGTTTAGGGTTTAGGGTTAGGGTTTAGGGCTTAGGGTCTAATAGTAACCCTGATACCCTAAACCCTGAACCCCTAAACCTAGACTCGGGCAAGCTCAGCAGCATTAGTATTTCCGGCGCAGTGAGCTTCAAGCCTAAACGGTGAACGTCAGGCCCCAATTGCATGGCCCTAAAACCCTAACCCCTAAACCCTAAACCCTAAAACCCTAAACCCTAAACCCTAAGCCGCAATTCCCTCCCAGAGGCCCAACCTTTGAACGAAGCCATGGCCTAGACCCCACTTGAATCAAGAAACTAAAGGAGGGACCCTTAAAAGGGACCTTAGGGGTTTAGGGTTTAGGGTTTGGGGTTTGGTTTGGGGTTTAGGGTTAAAGCAGGGACCCTTACAAGGGACCCTAGGAGTTCTCTCTAGGGGCTACTCAGGTATATAGGGACTATACAAGGTATATATATATATATAGGGGTTATATAGGGTCTACGTAGGCATATAGGGACTGTGTAAGGTATATACAGGGGCTACATAGGGGAATAAGATTAAGGGCTTCTGTGCGCGCTTTATGGGTTTCAGACGGCCTTGCAAGGCTTTATGGTGTCACTTCAGGAACAGGGCATCAGCCATGCCACCATGACACCCGTATGAATCCTGCGGTCAAAGCTGCCAGGTCCATCTGCTAGATGCCTCGACTGTGACCTCTAGGTCTCGCCCAAGAGAGTGCCGCGACATTGCCAATGTTTTGGATGGCAAGCTCAAAAATCAGCATGGCAGTGAGCAGCCTCCAATTTACTAAGGTTTAGGGTGGGTCCTATGCCTGAAATCTCACACCCCAACCTTAAACGGGCATCACTAAGGTCCGGGCGTTGTCCTTCACACTATCGAGCTTCCTGCACGGCAAGGGGACCAGCTGCTCTAAACCCTAAACCCTAAACCCTGAACCCTAGACCCTAAACCCTAAATGTGCTCGAACTAGCTGAAGGATTGTGAGTTTTGGGTTGAACAAGCGACGAAAACACGGCTTCGGTTTGTTGACAAAGCACCTCCCCCCCCCCCCCCCCCCGAGTCCTACATTAGGGTTTAGGGTTTAGGGTTAGGGTTTAGGGTTTAGGGATTAGGGTTTAGGGTTTAGGGTTTAGGGTTTAGGGTTTAGGGCTTAGGGCTTAGGGCTTAGGGTTTAGGGTTTAGGGTTTAGGGTTTAGGGTGTAGGGTTTAGGCTTTAGGGGGTGCTTTAGGCGATGGCGTTTAAGGGTGTAAGGCTAGAGCCTCGAGTTTAGACTGCAGAGTCCTGTGATACGGAAAGCTGACGAACGTAGATGTTCAGGGCTTGGCATCTCGGGTTTAGGGCTTAGGGTTTAGGGTTTAGGGTTTAGGGTTTAGGGTAAACCTAAACCCTCAAGCCTAAACCCTAACCCCGAAACCCCCTAGACCCCGTGAACCCCCTGAAACCGCCTAAACCCCCTAAACCGCCTAAAAGGGCGAGGATGTAGTAGACGGTGGACATGTTGGGTGCCAAGCCCATTCAGGTACTGGTCATATGGCATGACTCTGACCGAGCGAAGCACCTGTGGACAAGGCCTGGCAAGATGTTCGAAACATTGACTTCATCTCCATGTCGATTGATGTGGGCCACCTTGATAACATAATCAGGGTCGAAGGGGTCTTCAAAGTCTGCGCCATGCCCCAAGCGCACTGTCCAGGTGGCAGGCCTGCTCCATCACCAAAGTGTCGCAACAAAAGGATCTCCTTGGAGATGCAGTGAAAAAGCTCAGTTGGCACCCCCTAAACCCCCTAAACCCCAACCCCTTAAACCCGCTAAACCCGCTAAACCCGCTAAGCCCTGCACCCTAAACCCTAAACCCTAAACCCCCCTAAACCCTGGGGAGTCCCGAGTGTCTCGAGGTCGAATCCGTCAGCCTGGCCGCGGTCCGTGCTGCCGTTCCTTGCCACAGGGATTAGGGTTAGGGTTTAGGGTTTAGGGTGTAGGGTGTAGGGTGTAGGGTGTAGGGTTTAGGGTTCAGGGTTTAGGGTTTAGGGTTTAGGGTTTAGGGTTTAGGGTGTGGGGTCTAGGGTTTAGGCGGTTTAGGGCTTTAGGGTACACTTGGGGAGCTTTCGGGTTTAGGGTTTAGGGCTTCGGTGACTTGCAGTAGTGTTTATAGAGCTTTTCGGAAGTGGAATCTGGGGTTCGGGTAGATCCTGGCCCCTAACTTCCGGATTTACTCGACCGTGTGACGCCCGAAGCCTACTTGCACCTGTCTCTGCTCCTGTTGACAAAGCCACTGCCTTCTAGGCTAAGTTCTTGTGAGCTCAGGGTTTTCCGGTTTAGGGCTTTTGTTTGAAGGTGCGCCGAGTAGCAGGTAGTTGCCGACTTGCCTGAGATGGGACATGGAGATGTATGAGGCCGAGCCTCAGCCCTAAGCCCTAAGCCCTAAACCCGACCCTAAACCCTAAACCCCAAATCCTAAGCCCTGAACCTCCCTCAACCCTTCGTTTCGAAATCATGAAGCCTCATCATGGCTTTGGGGGACGGGGAAGGTTCTTTGCTGAAGCCTTGAACCGGAGCTCTCTAAGCATCAAGCATGCTAGGCCTCGGGTTTTAGGTTGTGGAAACTTGGCGTTTAGCGATTGACTACCAGTTGGGGCTTTCATTAATTAGGGCCAATGATCAAGCAGCCCCTAGAGCCACCCTGACCCTTGAACCCCAAAGAGTTTAGGGCCTTGGGTTTAGGGTTTAGAGGGCTTTACGGCTTTTAGTAGGGCCATAGTATGACTTTGAGCTTTAGGCTGCGGGTTTAGGGTTTGGGGCCTTCAGGCCCTACAGCCCTAAACCTCAAACCCAAATATGTGAAACTCCAAACCTTCACTTCATCAAGCGAAGTGCGGTACTTGAATTGAGGCTACTATAGGCCCTTAACCCTAAACCCTAAACCCTAAACCCTAAACCCTAAACCCTAAACCCTAAACCCTAAACCCTAAACCCTAAACCCTTCGGAGCCCATGAAAGTTGGCCCCGGGTGCAGGATCAATGCCAGGAGCTGCCGCAACGACCGTGACTGCCGCACCGCGTCCTCGATGAGCTGGAACTCGCCTGGTTTAGGGTTTAGGGTTTAGGGTTTAGGGTTTAGGGTTTAGGGTTTAGGGTTTGGGGTTTGGGGTTTGGGGTTTGGGGTTTGGGGTTTGGGGTTTGGGGTTTGGGGTTTGGGGTTCGGGTTTAGGGTTTAGGGTTTGGGGCTTGGGGGTTTAGGGTTTAGAGTCTAGGGAGTGTAGGGCTTAAAGATTTCGAGGCTAGTAAACAGTAGAGATAGAGGCCATGGGGCTATATGTGGTAGGGGTTCATGTTGGGAAGGGGGATAGGTTGCGGAATTGCTGTGCACGAGGTGTGGCGACTGAGGCTTGCGGTATGAGTTTCAAGCCTAGGGTTCGGGGTTTAGGAAGAAACCTAAACTCTAAACAACCCTAAACGCTAAACGCTAAACCCTAAACCCCAAACCCTAAACCCCAAACCCTAAACCCTAAACCCCAAACCCTAAACCCTAAACCCTAAACTCCAAACCCTAAACCACTACGACATCGTAGGCGAGGTTCCGAGCATGGCGCTGCAAGCACTTGCTGTCTCCTGGCGACAGGGATTTCGCAGGCTGGTCCTGTTAAAAGCCTCTGAAACATCGAGGTTTTCCCCTAAAGGTTTACCCTAAACCCTAAACCCTAAACCCTAAACCCTCGACAGGGTGTGGGGGCTTTGGACTTCAGAGTCTGGGAGATGCTCCTGACTCGGCCCGCAGCTGCCATTCTGCAGGCACTTTTTGCGAAACCCTCTGAACAGGGTTTAGGGTTTAGGGTTTAGGGTTTAGGGTTTAGGGTTTAGGGTTTAGGGTTTAGGGTTTAGGGTTTAGGGTTTAGGGTTTAGGGTTTAGGGTTTAGGGTTTAGGGTTTAGGGTTTAGGGTTTAGGGTTTAGCGCTTCGGGTTGAGGGCGGCACGCCAAAAACTGAAATACAGGCAGCTCTCCCAGAAACTCCGAACACCCTTTCATTGAGCTATACTATCTATACTTTTGTATCCCAGGAACCGAAAGTGATTTAGGACATACTTCTTACATAATAATGGATTTTACAGGTTTGGGGCTTCTGTACCCCTGCATGCGATCATCCTTAGTGCAGGAACCTTAGTATATAAGGGAACCGCAACCCTAAGCCCTCGAATTGTTGATCTTAAACTTATAAGATTCCTGAAGGCGGGTTTAGGGTTTAGGGTTTACGGTTTAGGTTTAGGGTTTAGGGCTTAGGGTTCAGGGTTTAGGGCTTGATTCCCTCGTACTCCCCACTACTCCCTGGGGCTCCCGAAGCTTCCCTAAGGTTCCCTGTACCTCCCCCCCCCATGAGCTCCCCTCCCTTAAACACCCGATAAACAGCTGATAATTAAGGGGTATAAGAGGGGACCCCTAGAAGGGACCCTTAATCTTATCCCCCTATCTTACTCCTATATATGCCTTATAGAGTCCCTATATACCTAAGTAGCCCCTAAATAACCCTAAATCTCTTATAAGGGTCCCTCCTTGAGTCCCTTTAAAAAAAATCTGGGCATCCCAGTCCTTCCAGGAGCTTTGGCCTTACTTATTTCCCTAACCTTTAACTAAGCCTTGAAGAAACCTGACCCCAAACGCAAAAACCCTATAGGAGTTTGAGATTGGAGGCGTGAGGCTAGGGTTTGGGGTTTGGGGTTTGGGGTTTGGGGTTTGGGGTTTGGGGTTTGGGGTTTGGGGTTTGGGGTTTGGGGTTTGGGGTTTAGGGTTTAGGGTTTAGGGTTTAAGGTTTTTGCCCCTCCCCGCGTCCTTGTACGACAGCACAAAGGTCCAGCAGGAAATTCGCGCCTGGGCATTTAAGATGTAGGGGTTGGGGCTTAGCCAAAAAACAAAACCCTAAACCCCAAACCCCAAACCCTAAACCCTAAACCCTAAAGCCTCAACCCTAAACCCTAAACCCTAAACCCTAAAGCCTAAAGCCTAAAGCCTAAAGCCTAAAGCCTAAAGCCTAAAGCCTAAAGCCTAAAGCCTAAAGCCTAACCCTCCCAATCTAGTCATTCCAGCGGGGCAAGCTGATCAAGGTTCAGGTAGGTTTATATGTTGTGATGGAACTTGGGGTTAAGGGCTGTAGGGGTTAAATTAAACCCTAAACCCTAAGCCCTGAACCCTGAACCCTAAACCCTAAACCCTAAACCCTAAACCCCAAACCCTAAACCCTAAACCGGGATCGGATCAGAGTTTGTCGGGCTTTGGGCTTGGGGCTCTGCGGTCGAGGGGGCCGTTTTGGGTGGACCTGATGTTGGATTGCTAGACCCACGAGAAACCTAGGAATACAACAGCTGCCCAATTTTGGTTTAAAGGGGGTTAGGGTTTAGGGTTTAGGGTTTAGGGTTTAGGGTTTAGGGTTTAGGGTTTAGGGTTTAGGGTTTAGGGTTTAGGGTTTAGGGTTTAGGGAACCAAAAAGGGATCTTAACCCTTAAAGAACACGGAGAAGGGCCTACTCTAGGTTCACGAGGTGCAAAAGATGAAGCTAGTGGTTGTATTGCATGGCGTACTCCCTAGACCCTAAACCCTAAACGCTAAACCCTAAACCCTAAACCGTGCAGGATCTTGTGCACTGAGTTGAACAGAACTTTTGTCAATTACAGCTTTAGAGGCAAAGAACAAGGACATGAGTGAGCCCAGCGCCTGAAATGCTGGGACCCGGCTGATCTGCCACATGTACTCCTGCAAGTAGGGTTTAGGGTCTAGGGTTTAGGGCTAGGTATGATAGCTTAGGATACGCAAGTCCTTAAACAGTAGTTGGAGATATAATATAAACGCCTTGAGCCCAATCTTCAGCGACCCAGTTTTCCTTCGGCTGTCTCATTGAAGTGAACGGGTTGGGCCCTGGATCCGTGGGGTTCGCATAAGTATACCTGCGAAAGTCCCTAAACCCTAAACCCTGAACCCTGACCCCTGAGGTCTGAGCCCTGAACCCTGAACCCTGAACCCTAAACCCTAAACCCTACTCAATCCCAGCCTAGATGCAGCTTCAAGAGTTCTAGCCTTCTTCCCAAACACCGCCCAAAAACCCATCTTATGGTGGGAGTTTAGGGTTTAGGGTTTGGAGTTTACGGTTTGGGGTTTCAAATTTCGGGTTTGGGGTTTGGGGTGTGGGGTGTGGGGTTTGGGGTGTGGGGTTTGGGGTTTGGGGTTTGGGGTGTGGGGTTTGGGGTGTGGGGCTTGGGGCTTGGGGTTTGGGGTTTGGGGTATAGGATAGCGGCTTTGGGCCCCAGTGAGTTCAGGAGATGTCGGGCTCAGGATTCCTCTACCCCAAGCTCAAGACACCTAAAGCTGTTGAGCAGCTCTGCTACTAGACCCGAAACCCTAAACCCACAACCCTAACTGGGACTTTACCCCGAATATAGACCCACAAATAATAGCTTCCTACTTATAGTTAGGCCAATATGGTACCCCTAATATCGTACGCCCCCGAAATTTTGCGGACGTCCAAACGGCTCAAGCAAACTTCGGGTAGCTGTTACCAAGATCTGTCGTGAATCTGCAGTGCAAGGCCCCGTGTCCCAAAATGCTGAACTTCCTTCGAACCCTAAACCCTAAGCCCTAAACCCTAGACCCAAAACCCAAAACCCAAAACCCAAAACCCAAAACCCAAAACCCTAAACCCTAAACCCTAAACCCTAAACCCTAAACCCTAAACCCTAAACCCTAAACCCTAACCCAACCCTCGAGCACGCCTCAGGCAGCGCGAAAGGCACGGTTGGGTGCTCTTTGCGGCACTCTTCCAGCTGGCTCACCTGGCAGGAGGGTTTAGGGTTTAGGGTTTGGGGTTTAGGGTTTAGGGTTTGGGGTTTGGGGTTTGGGGCTTGGGGTTTAGGGCGTTAACCTTCTCAACCCTAAACCCTAAAAAAGAAACCTCAAGCCATCACCCTTTAAACCCTATAAACCCTGAGTCCTACATGCGGTTCTAGGCTCTTCGGGCCATGGTGCCTAAGGACATAGGGCTTCAAGGTGTGGACTGCAACAGTCTTGAGAGCCTCGAGCCTGAACCCGAAACCCGAAATCCGAGTCCCTGAAACCTCAACCCCTAGATACTTCTCTCAGTTGTCCAGTACCTAGGGGTTTTCAAGGTTAACCTTTGGGAATATAAGGGGAATGTATTAACCCAAAAAGGTTAAAGGTTACCTACTCTACTACTAAGTTCTCTCTTGGAGCCTGCGCAGGCTGCGGGCTGGCGTGCTCCTGGAGAGTTGGCTTAAAGACCCAAAACCCTAAACCGTAAACCCAAACCCTCCCACGGCTTTGGGGCTGTAGGGTCTTCGGGTCTTTGGGCGCCCTTCGGGTGTGGAATTCACGGTTTTAGGGTTTCAGGGCCTTGGGCTTCAGGGCTTCGGGTTCTGGGTTCTCAGGAACTAGGGTTTGACTGTTTAAGGCTTAGAGCGTTTTGCTTCCCTTATTGTTTAGGGTTTAGGGATTAGGGTTTAGGGTTTAGGGTTCAGGGTTTAGGGTTCAGGGTTCAATTAGGGTTCAGGGTTCAGGGTTTAGGGCTCCTTGATCACACTCAACTGGCTCGGGCTGAGGACAACGGCGTCCAGCTTCAGGAGTGCGGTGGCGACCTCCTGTCGCAGCAAGAACGAA